AAGACACCTGGCTTATAACCGTTGAATCAAGCTTCTCTTTTGGTCCATTAACACAAATATCCAAAAGATCATACCTGAATTAAGCCACCATATAGTTTATTCATTCACACTAAGTGAACAAAAACAAAGAAAAAGGTTCAAACTTTCAACAAAGGAACATACCCTAAGATATCATTAGCTTTCTTATACAACTCTCCAGCTGCTGCAACACTCTGAGCCTCTTTCCCCATTCCTACTGCTTGAGCTCCCTGAGACATAGAAAATTCATCACAAACTCATCTGAATCTGTCAGCATTATATCTAAACTGAAACGATTACAAGCAAAGTATATGGCTTTATGATCAAGAGCCTACATTATAATCACAATCACATCAATCAGATCAAAATTAGCAAACTTTTCAATCAGGGCACTTCGAAATTTCCTAAATTGAGACGAAATCATCAAACTTTCTTCCATCAGACTCCACATTTTCACTCTTCAGATTGATAACATTGCGCTAAGATTCAAATTCAAATCAAGTAACCGGAAGTTACCTGACCGGGAAAGAGAAAAGCAGAGGTGGGTTTGTAATCAGCGAACAAAGAATCATGAACAGTAGTACTCTGAGATCCAGCGGAGACACTCATTGAAACCCTAGATCGGTTGAGATTCTTGGCGGCGAAGCAAAAGGAGGCATTTTTAGAACAGGTGAGATTGTGGAGAGATACGGAAGGGAGGAGCAAGGAAGAGGAAGCGGTGGTGGCCATGGCGGAGAGAGGAGTGCGCAGGATAAGAGAATGAGACGGAGAGGTGCGTAAGATAGTACGGTGAAGCAGTGAACGCATTCAGAGAAGTAACAGTTTTTAAAAAAGCTTTAGCGGAGTTAACGAAGATGATGATGATGGTAGATGGTGGAAGTTGAGTTATTAGACCAACCGTTTTTGTTTTTCTTTTAGATCCCAACAAAAAAAAATTATTTTACTTGCAATCTTTTTTTTTTGTTTCGGTAATGGAAAATACATAAATGTGTATTTTTATTTCATTGTGAAGAAACTAGGGTTGTGCAAGAATACACACTTGTGTACTCGTTTCGAGTGAGATAAAAGATATTGTAAATCAATTATTCGCATCTTTATGAATATAGTTGATCGTAAAAATCGAGTCCAATAATGAGTACATCCCAAAAATGTAAGAGTACCTACACAATATCAAATCCTAGTTCTAATCATTGTAGTGTAAATATCTTTGTAGTAATTCAACTTGGGATCAGTAAAGCTTATTGTCGATTGGACTGGATACCACTCGTGTAAGTATATCCACTTTTTGTTTAAAAAAGATTATGAAGAGATTTATTTGTGATGTTTGGATCACTTGGATAGTTGGATTATGTCAAACCTTTTGATTATTTAGTTCAAAGGTAAATTTTTATTAGGATTCGATATAGAAAAGTGTTTTTTTTTTTTTCCTTTTTTCTTAATAGAATATGGGCTGTGCACAAAGCAAATACTTGCTAATTTTCTTGTGATCCGTTTTGTCCCGTTCAAGTAATTGACTTTTAGACTTGATAATTACCTCATCCGAAGCAATTATTTGCTCTAGCAAATACTCGGCCAAAATCTGATTACTTGCAAGTAACTTGACCCGCCTTGTCACTTGCCAAATAACTTGATCCAGCTTATTATTTGTAAGATACTTGCTACTTGAACTAAAATCCTTGAATATAAAAACAATCTCATACAATACAAATCTTAAAACATTCAAAGTTCCAATTTTTTTTTATTTTTTCGATTTTGGTTTTTATAAGCTATAAACTATAAATATATAAATTCAAACAACTTATTAAAACTTATTTTATATCAAAGCAAGTAACGGGTAGAACAAGCCGGGTAATAAATTTTATTTAAGACTTGATACTTGATTTGTACTTACAAGTAATAAATTTTTAGTACTTGTCACACGACAACGAGTATCTATACCCAGTCCTGTATATCCATAATATTGATCAAAACTATGTCATTAGATTCTATTATAGTTCAACATGGTACAACTACATTTCATCGAGATGTCCCAAAACACCACCAAACTTATGGGCTTATGGTAGTTGTAGTCAAATTTACTCATGTCGAGCATGACGGAAATATACACCTTGGGATCCTTGTCAGAGAAAGTTTTTGAGAATTTTTGGAGAGCATGGTGAAAAAACTCCTATATTGTGTAAGGAGTTAAACATATATGCAATTCATGGATCTCCAAAATGTTTTTGTCTAGTTTACTGGTAAATTAATTTTGTTCAATGAAATCGCAACAACACTATTTACGTTATTTTCAAGAATTTTTTTCTCGTAAAGATGGCCAATTGAAGATTGATATGATGCTATTTTAGCAAGAAAATTTGTTAGTGTAATTACAAAAAAATTGTGGGCTCATATAAAGTTAATAACTAACTAAATTTTAATCCGCGGTAGACCACGAGACGATTTGTTTTCTAAAAGTAGTGATTTGTATCATTTTATAAGACATTTATATTTTATAGTTTATAATTGTTATTAAGTAACGGTATACCACGGGACATTTTTGGTTTTATACAATCTTATCTAATCAAGCTGATTCGATATGTCTAATATTGATGGAGTTAAAAATTAATAAAATGAGGATTTATCCCGTATTGAAGCGGCGGATTAATGATATTATAAATTTTAATTAATGTTGATTCAAACTCGTCCCGCCATATTACCCCGTCCCGCAATATAACTTGTCCCGTATTATTATAATTTTTTATATGTTCAAATGTTCCCGTATTGATTTTAAATATATCAATTATAATATTGAAAAATTTATACTACTTTAAAATTTAATATTTTCCGTAAAATTAAATAGTTTAACTTAATAAACCGAATTAAACCGTATACAAACTTTTAAATTTGGATGCTTGTTAAGTTAAGCTTCCTGCTCATTCAGATTTGGATCATTTTGATCTTATTTATAATATGACTCTGAATTATTCTCTAAACATTTTAGCCGATGTGGGACGTTGAACACATACATTTTTTATTAATTGAGTAATATATGTGTCTTTTTAAAATTTCGAATCACAATATATGCATAAAAAATTGAGAATCTCTCTTAACTTTATGTATTATATGATGATCAAAACAATTAAAAAAAATCAAACAAAGATGATAGCGGAAGCATAATTTTAAATCTTAACCAAATCTTTAAATATCTTTATTATTAAATCTGAAATATTATATGGATATCCGGTTCACAATTTCGGATATGCTTTGAATCAATCCAAGTATAAAATATACTTAAAAAATACTAATATAGATTGGGCATTAAATTGATTTTAAAGAGTCTAATTTGTGATTAGCAAAAAAATTGGGCATTAAATTTGTTACCGGGTCTGATGGGCCGTATAAATTTTAGTTTAGCCTAGTGAAACCCTAATTTCCCTTTATCCCTCCTGAAGAACCGAATCGAAATTCGAAACTTTTCCATCCATAATTTTTACCTCCGATTTCGGAATCTCGATTGAGAATCTGAGAAATTTCCGCCATGAAGAAGAAAACGGTATGTATTTTCCTGATTTATTTATATATTATTCCTGATTTCTTTCCATTTTATTTCATAAAATTTCCGAATTGATTTTGTTCTAATATTATTTGATTTATATATTTTTCATGGTTTTTAAGAAGCTAATCAAGATAGTCTTGGACAATGGGACTATGAGAACACATCTCTGCTATTTGGTTTTGACGTCTTTTTACTAAAACTGGCGATAATAGCCTTCTTCCGGTATAAGGGATATGTGGTTAATCATTATTTGACTATGGTCATTTCGGATGCAAATAGTAAGGATAGTTTCTTTAATTGTTTTTTTTTTCAGCTCGTGTCCCACAAGCCTCTGATGTATAAATATGTGGCGTGATTTCGGACTAGTTAGAACGGAATGAAATCGGCGATCTATTCCTCTTAATAGGCGGAGATGATGGATACGTCCAATATCTTCAAGAAGTAAAGAACACATGAATGATTATAGAAGACGGGAAATTTACTATATCCTTTTTCTTTATCACTCGTTAAACCGGCGATTACGAGTGTACTCCGTTTTCACGGATATTACTCTCACTTGAAATGGTGGGATCTATTCGTCCAAACGGATAAAAATGTTAAGGATCTCAAAAAGCATTAGTAACCTAAATTATTCATATTTTTAATATATTTTTCGTTTATAATTGTCTTCTTTAAGTGTTTTTTTTTTTAGCTCATGTCAAACAAGAGATAGGGCTCTGGTTAGATCAGAGTGAAAAATAATAATTACTTGCCGGTATTTGAAAAGTTTTCAAAAAGTAAAAAATAAAAGCCATTACATCTTTCTAAAAATCCGGGACATGCAAACTATTATACTTTGAAAGATTTTTTTTCAATGACACTAGGATGTAATTTTAATATGAGTAAAGGTTTACTTTTGAAAGTGTACTTCCAAAATATTAACGGAATAATAAACATAAAAGTTAATGATTTTAAAAAGTTAATGATTATTATATTTTAGGCGATGTTGGACGTTGAATACATACATTTTTTATTAATTGAATAATATATCTCCGTTTTTAAAAATTTGAATCATAATATATACAGAAAAAAATTTGAGATTTTTTTAAACTTTATGTATTATATGATGATTTAAAATTTTGATTCTCCTATCAAACAAAGATGATAGAAGAATCAAAATTTTGAATCTTAACCAAATCTTCTAAATATCTATATTGTTAAATATGGAATATAAGGTGTAAGAGTTCGGTTTCTTATAATCCGATCCAAAGAAAAATATAAAATATGCAGTAGTATACAAGTTTAAATTAAATTTTGTATTTGGTTAGGTACCAAAAATCTCGGATAAATTTTTAATCTATCTGATACAAAATGTACTTCAGAAATAGATAAAGTTGTTTGGGAAAGTCAGCTAGAAGAAGATGATTAACTAACACAGCTTTTATTTGGTAAATTTTTAATTGGAAAAATCACAACACTCACTCTATTACGAGGAAAATAACAAAAGTACATCGAAAACAAAGGTTGAACCACTTTCAATAGAGCAGTTGTCCATCTTTAACATATCAAGACTAACAAAGTCTTTTTTTGATTAAAAACAAGAACAAAAAACGAAACCCCATAAATCCTTTAGATCCAACGGTAGAAGATTTTTATTAGCATCTTGGAAGATCCAACGGTGGAGCCTGCACCGACTGCAACCGTCCACGACCATTCTCGACCAAGAAAACCATAGCCAAACCCCATCCCAAATGTGAATCAATGTGACAATGCATAAACCATGCTCCTGTATTATACCAAAAATATGTCAAAATTTGGTTCACATTTTTGAGTCAATAAGATCATTTAATAACCTATGATTAAAAAGTATCAAATGCTTTGAGTCAATAAGATCATCTAACCTGGATTATCAGCGACGAACCGGATTGCCACCCAACCACCTGGAGGTGTTCCAATGGTGTTCCTCTCTGGTGGGTCAAATAAGTTAAACCTAGCCGGGTCTGTTCTCGGGTTGAAATTTCCAAAACCTGACCCGATCACGTAAAATTGGTACCCGTGTAAATGCATGGGATGATTCTCAGGCGTGACAATGCTTGTGTCTTGTAACACAATCTGAACATTAGCTTTGTACTTAAGCTTGTAAGCTTTGGTTCCTTTTATGGGCTGCCATAACCCGCGGCTAACGTTACCGGTGTAATCGAATTGCACCGGTGGAACGGGTGGAAAATCTGTCGTGAAGATTCCGGGCGTGCCTTGGTAGTAAGCTTGCATGACGGAGTTACTTCGTGGTAGCACAAAGGACATGTTGTTCATACTTGCCGCGAACCGGGTCCCGTTAGGACCCTGGCAACGCGGACTGTTTGGGTTGGAGCAGTTGATTAGTCCTAATCCGACGGTGAAAAAGAGGTTCTCGTCGACTTGTTGTGGTACTTGAGCTCGTTTCCAGTACCGTAGACGGTTGGTGAAAGCGGTTGCTGTTGCGGTGTCATTGAAACCGGGAAGGACCGGGAAAACTGGAGCGATCTGACCACGACCACGACCGCGTCGAGTTGGAGCGTTGACGTATTGTAAGATAGCGGTTGTGGTTGTGTTGTCAAAAGGAGCGTTTGCGCTGTTGTAGGCTCGAGCTGCCATGTAATAACGACCCGGTCGCTGATTTGCCGTGAGGAGGACGTTAGTGGTTTGACCGGGACCGATCATAATGACACTTGTGGTGAATGGTTTCGTGTAGGCGGAATCAGTTTCAACGACTGTGAACTGGTGGTTGGCGACTGAGAAGAAAAGCTCTTGGTTCATAGCAGCGTTGATGACACGGAGTTGCACCGTCTCCCCGGGAAAAATTGGAAAACGGATTGTCCCGGCCCGCGAACAGCGGTAAAGATCCCCTGGTTGACCGTTGATTGTGTAAGCGTCAGATACATTAGGTGCTGCACCCGTGAATTGTGCTTGCCTCAAAACGTCCATTGGGTTTCTATCCCACCATTCCCCTATTTTTGTAAGTATTATTAAACATTAGTTGTTATTATGAAAAGAACAAAAATGTAATTTGAAGTTATAAATGCTTACCAAGAAGAATTGGAATGTCACGTTTGGGCATAGAGAAGGGATAAGGAGAACCAAGACGAGGGTAAATGATTAGAGCACCATAGACGGTGGCTCTGAGCCAGCGGCTATGAGCGTGCCACCAAAGCGTACCCTCTTGGTCCTCGATTTTGAATCTGTAAGTGTAACTTTGCCCTGGACGGATCGGGCATTGTGTTATGTACTCTGGACCATCAGCCCACGGATTCCTCAGCTGTCTGATTCCATGCCTATCCCAAAAACAGAGCAAAAAACAGAGTATAAAAACAGAGAACATAACATATGATTGTTGAAGTTGATGATCAAATCTTTTAAATTACCAATGAATACTAATGTTGTAACGGGCTCTGTTGATGACAGTGATTGCGAGAGAGTCACCGTTCCTGACTATAAGCGTTGGACCAGGGAATTGACCGTTCACAGTGATGCTTTGGTGAGTTCTGCACAGCCTCTTCACTGGTCGCGGTTGGATCTAAAGTCATCGTCGTTTAAACTCGAATTAAGCGCATTCAATTAACGTAAAAACATACACAAAAGCTTTGATGTAACATGAGTAAGCTAGCTTACCACGAATTGTTGGACATGATGTTCAGCGGAAGCGAGGAAAGCGAAGTAGGCAAGAAGAGCAATGAAGGATACAAAGGAGAATCGCCGAAGAGACTCCATTTTTTGCTTCACTGTGAGAAGCTCTATGTTGGAGATTTGTGATATGAGTTTGGAGAAAAGGAAAGAGTGGTATTTATACACACTAAGCGGGAAAGTGGAAACAGCAGATGTTTTCGTGAATTCGTTAGCAATGAGACAAATTTTAATTATATTTTACTAGAGTGGAAACTAATGTTAGGTTTTAGAGTCAGCAGGAGGGAGAAAAAAAAAAATTTCACAATGGGTTAAGTTGATTTGGTGCACCCACTAGACTAATTGGAACTAGGATCCTCTATTTATTTGATTATTATAAATTTATAATCATGCAAATCAAATGTTCATATTCTTCTTCTCTTATGAAATTCACGTTTACATTCAAATATACGTATCTTTTTTTTTTTTTTTTTTTCCGTTACGGAGACATTATTTGGATACGTTCACATTCTTAAGTAACATATGTTCACGTTTTTCATTAGCATAAGTTCATTCTATCATATCTTTTCTTGGCATCTAAATTTAGTTTTACCCTCTTCTGTATTATATCCTAGAGTAGATCATATTCCTCTTTTTTTTCTTAAAATTAATTTAGACCTAATCAAAAATACAATACATATTAGGCCTGAGATTATTATCCGGTATCCGCGGATATCCGTATCCGTATCCGTTTTTTTTATCCAAAAAAACGGATATCCGGGAAAACGGATACGGATACGGATAATAAAATAACGGATATTCCGGATACGGATACGGATAATGTTAATTTTAAAAACGGATAACGGATATCCGGTTATTTTGTATTTTTATACGAAAATATGAGTATATTTATACAAAATACGGTATAATTATACGAAATATAGTATTTTTATACGAAAATACGGTATTTTTATACGAAAATACAGTATTTTTATATGAAAAAATGATTTTTTTTTTTTTGCATGTATACGGATATCCGCGGATATTCGCGGATAATCGGATTTTTAACGGATATCCGGATAGCGGATATCCGGAATTTTTGGATACGGATACGGACACTAAAATCACGGATAATACGGATACGGATACGGATACAGATATCCTAAAAAAACCGGATATCCGCTCCGTTAACAGGCCTAATACATATGTTTTGTCACCTAAACTCAAGTAAAGTTTTCGGGTTATTGTTGTCTTTAATGTTCTTTAATACATATCCTCTTATACGTAAATTATAAAACCTAATGAGTCGCTGCATAATAGCGATTGCAATTCAAAATCAGCCAATGAAACTAATAATGTGAAAAAAAAAGAAACTAATAATGTGAAGATAAAAAAATGAAAGAAGTGGTTCGATGGAAGTTGAAATTTGTGGTATGGATTTGGTATTGAACTCTATAACTAGGTAAGTAACCTTTGTTTTTTAATAAAATGTTAGTTAGTTGACCTTCTGAGTCACTCCACATACGCCCATGGGCCATGGTCGCACTCACACCCTCACTTCTATATCCCAATTCGTTTATATATAAAAATAGTTATACATTAGATGTTTATCGACGCCTTAATTTGACACATCTAATTGTACTATATACAAAACTCCTACACTAATTAAATGATACATAAACCTGTAAAGGTGCACGGGGAGCTATTTTCAACGTTGAAAAAAAGTTGGGGAGTAACGACAATCAAAAGTACTAACTAATAGTATGACTTATTTTTATTGTTAAAAATATTAACAAATGTAATTATCATTTTCAGTGAATTGGGAGGAAGCAGGTTTAAGTGTTTTAACTAACTTTAACAGATCTGGTATCTTCAGCAGTTCAGCTTGAAAAATCAGTCGCTTACCCAAACGAGTACATCTCGTATTAAATTAGGTTGCCTGTAAATTGACATATTTGCTAATAAACAAATAATACAAGAATCATGCTTTGATTTCATTTGTATTACTTTTTCTCGTATAAACTAAAACTACTATTATATCGATTATTGTTCCTTATAACCGAAGAGTTCCTTCTTATCATCTTATGGTTTCTTGCGAGAAGCTAAATTGTAATATTTAATGGGATTTATGTGTTCACTTTTTAGAACGTTATGGTTTATACGTAAAAATAAATTATATCTTTCTATTGAAGATTTTGAAATAAAAGAAAAAACGAGAGCTCAACTTTCATAAACAATTGAGGTCCACATTAAATGAGTTCTTAGGACGTCCACATTAAAAAAAAAAACATGTTAGTGAAAGAAAAAATCCTAAAATTGTTTATAGTCACATCATTGCAATTTTTCTAATTCATAATAAAGTTTTTGTTTTATGGCTAATTAAACTCATACATCTATAAGGTAACATAGAATATCTAAGAATAGTCCAATACAAAGCACCCATTTGATCTATAGGGCCATAAATTTGTGTAGTCGCTAATTAACTAAAATACATTGTTTAGTTAATTAATTTCTTAAATCAGTGACTTAAGCCTTAAGCCACTCTTGAATCTGAGCATCTATGAAGCTCCCTAGGTATTTGTAAGCTGCTTCGGAGGGGTGAATGGAGTCCCAAAACAAGTGATCCGAATGATTCGGACAAGTCTTTGATAAGGAATTGCACAAGAAGCTCGTTTCCACTGTTCCGCAACATCCTGTCTTCGTCTCCTTGAATCCTGTTTTTATTTGTACGACGATGAGTATATATTGCATAAATTAGTAAAAGATTCAGATTTAGATGACTTGTGGAACAAGGAAAAAGTTGTATATACCGTATTTGCTAGGGTTTCGGATCATGTCCATCACAGGGTCGTAGATGTTAGCGTAAAGGAACTTGCTTCCGGGTAGAGACGCTTGGATCTCAGGCAGTTTCTTTACTAGTTTCTGATTGTACAAAACGGAGTCTTTGTTCTCTTGTTCCACACAAATGCTTCTCATTTTCACGGTCATTTGGATCGGTAAACATCCCATCGGCGGCAACCCTCCGACTAGAATATTCCGGCAACCTAAACTATAAAGCTCCTACACACAAGAAGAAAAGACTCGAGAGTCAGCACGACAAATATAAAAAAATAGCTCCATGAAATAATCTGGTCTCAGACCAAGAAAACAAAATTTTCAAGATTTTACCCGGACAAAACCGTCAAGCCTCTTGAGGACAAAATCTTGGTAACCATAGATAGTAGGATACTCGAGATGCCTTGTGGGGATATCGTAAAAGTTCAAGATGAAATCATTAGGCCCTGCGCTTATGACCACTAAAGCGTTGTTAATTATGTTCATTGCTTTCTTGTCTCCTACGATACCTTTGAGACGAGCAATATAATTCTTGAACATGCGTGGCTGTTGTGAGACCGGGATAGCCTTGCTCGATAGCGAGGTCTCGTCATCGTAGCCAGCGCCCGCGGATGCGAAACAGACTCCAGTGACAATGTCTTGGTCGGAGATGTTTGGCTGTAGAAACGGAGGAACAAACTCTTTGATGTTGAGTTTGGTGGAGATTACGTCAGAGATTAGCTTTCCGTTTGAGAATCTCCCATTAGCTTTGTGGCCGGGAAGATCAACGCCATAAGGGAGGTGATTAGCCTTGAAGACGGCTTGTGAGTAGTAGTTGTTATTGCCTGTGTCTACCGTTGAGTCGCCGAAGATTAGAATCGCCGGGAAAAGCGGCTGCGTGGCGTTTGCATCCGCATTGTAAGACACGAGGAGTGTTGCAACAAAGAGACCAAACACTATGGTTTTAGATATACACATTGTGTATTTGATCACTTCGTCTTATTTTGATTTCTTTAAACTCTATATTGGTGAAATAAGTTGGTGATGGCGTTTTAAAGAGCTTGAAGGTGATGTTTCTGTTGGAGTGAGTTTATCTTTGAACTAGGCTTTCTGATTTTTTTAGTGTATTTTTTTTCTTAAAAAAATAGAAGCTTTGAATATTGTAGTCTAACTAAAGATATTAACGAGATTTTTCACAGATATTTTACTATAAAAGAAGAGTCTTCTATTCTTTTAGTCCACTTTATAAACTTATTTAACAATTTTAATTCAATTCAATTATACAATAAATATTTTACTAATTAGGTGTTTGACCTCTCTCTATTGGTTGACTTAAATTTAATTTATTTTTAGTTTTATTTTTTTAGCAACTCAAGAAATATTTAAATTTATAATTTATTCATTTAATTATGGTCTTGAATGGCTTTTAAGTTCAAAGATGCACAACATATACTAAAAACAATACGTCAACATAACGTAACATGGATGAAAATGTTAAGTAACATAATATATATGTTGACTTTTGTTTAACAATTATGATCGTCACTATATAACGCAATTTGGGTTGCATTATTTCATTTCGAAATTGTGTGGAATTATGTTTCAAAATTTTATGGGCTGGTTCAACAATAGGCCCAAACAACAATTATATCTCTATATTTTTCCTCGTGTAAAATGGAAAGTGAAATCAACGTAAGAACCCATAATGAGATTATGTAATGATATATGTTTAAAAGGTATTTAATTATGGATTATAATCATATCACTTTTTTTATGCAAATTGTTGATGTAGTTACAGTTTTTTTTTTTTTTAATGGCTTCTACTATCTTGGGAGTAAACTGATTTCAACATAAAATAAAATCTGAAATGGTAAACATAAAACTATACGAATTTACGGTCTCATCCAATTTTTTTACAGTTTCTTTTTTGAGTTTTTCACAGTGAGAAAATGAGACTTTCGGACTTTTAACTACAATCAATTTCTAAAAATTAACCTATGTAATAATATGATACAAATTAACCTATCTAATAATATGATACGATTAAATATGATTGATGTTATGTGTCTACATCTTCACAAAATCTCTTGAAATGTCATTTGGATTTTCCTCTCACGTCAACTTGGCTAGTTTTAAGATAGAGAGAGCAACGTGCACCACTAAATCATATAAAAAGAAAAAGGATCTTACGCACGAGATTATATCTAAATCAACGCGTATTCTCGACTGGAAAATATCTCCAATATCTAAGCTAAAGTCTTTATGTTATTCCTTTGATTTGTCGTTTATACTTATACCATCAGGTTCTTCCCCCTTAACCATTATCCCGTCTAATATTTTTGTTTGCAACTACTAAATTCTAGTAGGCTATATGTTAATCTTTCCAGAGTCAATAATTCGTTTTGTTAAATTTATAATTCAACGTGGTTCCAGTTCAGATCTGTACTAATGTTATTCGTGTTTGAACAATTTTAAACAAAAAAAAAATTGATAACCCAGAGATGATACGAGTTTTTACTATATATATAGCCGTCGAATTGTACACCCACAAGATTTTTAATGGATTTTAAACATATATAACAATTCATTAAATTGTCATAGCTAGTTTGTAATTTGAACACCTATCATCATCTTCATCATTTTTTTTAAGTAACTCAATATATTAATTTTTACCCAAATGGGCTTAAACGATGATGGGCTTACACGGCCAATCGGCCCACAAAAAGAAGAAGAAAAAGTCAACACGACCCAGATCGGAGATCTGAAAAAGGGTGGAATCCGGCAGCACCAGCACCACCTCCAAGCTCCGGCGATAACAAGAGGCCCTTCGTTGCTGCTCCAACCCGACACGAGCGACATGACCGGAGTTATCGATTCCCGCCACAAACCCGACGCCAACGACGGAGCCGACCAGAAACTCCTCTCCCGGAAAAGATCGAAACCATAGACAACCGACCCGCTAAATCCAGTCCTCCACCAAGCAACCAGAAACCTAAATCGAACCCTCACCTCCAGCGCCGTTGTCAACACAAGCCTCCTCCGTGACCGCCACAACTTCAATCCGGTCAGACGAAAACTAGATGCGGCAGCGATTAGGTCCGCTGGCTCAAACAAAAACCTAACCGCCAATCTCCTCACCCAGCCAACACAGATCCGACGGATCTGGCGCTAATCGTCTCGACTTGCAGTGACCCCCACCAATCCGCCCTCGACTTCCGCCGTCAGTCACAGCAGCCCCTCCGACAAGTGAGCCTACAACTTCCTTCAATCCCTCCTCCGGCGTCCTCAAACCAGTGGTACGACTAGAAGAAAGCACGAAATCGTCGGGAAGATCGCCACAACTAACATCAGAAGGCGGATCTACCACACCTCATCACCGCCAGAGAAAGAGGAGCGTCACCAACCGATTGAACCGCTTGCCCCACCATCGACGATGAAGCTCTGAACTAAAAAAGAAAAAAGAAGAACGAAACTTTCCTAGATCTACTGTTGAGGAGAGAGAAGAGAGGATATTATTTGGAACGATTGTCCTTTTTTTAACAATCTCTCTTCATCATCATTTGATAATTAAAAGATTTAGGACCGAATGTTTTTGGTTATGGTAAGCTCCATTGTTCCACTCTTTACGATGTAGTATTGTGGTGACTATATTCGAATTGCGTGTGATATGTTCTGAACATCCTATTAACTTAATGGTATCATGCAAAATCTATGTTTAATATTAGTGCTCATTAAAAAAAATATATATTGACATCATTTTTCTTCCAAAAACGAAATAAACATCTCAATGACATCAAAATTGTTTATAAATTATAGCTGTCATTTGTGACTAAAAATTATGGAGAGACAAGCAACCATATTAAACTAATCCTTTTTCGATTCATGTTAGTATTTAATATAGTAAGGATCATCATAGTTTCACCAACATATATAAGTAAATTCAAACTTTTGCTATATAGTACTTTATCAAAAAAAAAAAAAAAAAACGAAATAAACATCTCAATGACATCAAAATTGTTTATAAATTATAGCTGTCGTTTGTGACTAAAAATTATGGAGAGACAAGCAACCATATTAAACTAATCCTTTTTCGATTCATGTTAGTATTTAATATAGTAAGGATCATCATAGTTTCACCAACATATATAAGTAAATTCAAACTTTTGCTATATAGTACTTTATCAAAAAAAAAAAAAAAAAAACTATGCTATTTACCTGAGATATAAATATATTACATTAGAAATATTATTTAAAATGAAGATCATGATTAATGCCCCTGAGCGAGTAAGTTTTACGGTTTTAGAGAAAATTTCTCAATTTGAATTTTGCAGATGAACTCTTTTTTCTAATGTGTACAGAAATTAAAATTATTTTCCTTTATAGTATCATTATATTGTCAGCCGTATTTGATCTAGTAAAATATTTTTTCCAATCGACTGATTCCTACGTTAAAATATATTATTCAGATTCTAATGTAGAAAATTGTTTGCTTGCATAAACTGGTTCAGAAATAATTTAGAAACAAACAAACAATCAGTTCTGTCTTAAACGATTTTAACATTATTTTAACCCTTTTTCACTAACCTCATTCAACTACATAATTAATTATGTGGTTTATGATCCACCGTGGATATAAAGTGTTTTCGAATTGAGGGAAAAGACAGACTTGGCTCACGTTCTTCAATTAATTGATTGTCTTTTAGTTTCATTGTTAATTAAGTTTCAATCATAACTAAACACCCCCAAAAAAAATTGTGGTACACAGTACACACGAGGCTTATTCTTTGAGACTAGAAATTAATTTAAAATTTTAAATCATTAGTTTCATAATCAACCAATTTCAGCGCCGTTCGTACGTAATACATATATAGTCGGTGCCCGAAACCTCCGTGCTACGAAGCTTCCTCATACGTACTTAAGTATATGTATTTATTGGGGCATTAATCATTTGATGAATATGGGTTTTACCAAAACCTTAAGCACCATTAAATTCATGTCATTAAGGGGAGGGAAGTTAACGTCTCGAGCGTCGAGAGTCATAATTAACTGATTAATACTCCCTCCGTTCTTTTATAAATGATGTTTTAGGAGAATGCACACAGATTAAGAAATCATTTAATTTTTGTTTATTTCTAAACTAAAACATCATTTATTATCTAATCAACCAATAGAAAAATAATCTGCATAATATAAATCGTCAAAACCAATAAAATCCTAATTAATATTGCATTGAAAACTGAAAACATCATCTATATAAAAACAAAAACAAAAGCTTAAAACATCACTTATTTAAGAACGGAGGGAGTATAATCCTAGAAATTGGAGAATCATGATCTAACTAGATTCCTACGTACATTTGACAGGGTTATAATTAACATCGAATATAACGTAGTACTATTGGTGCAGTTTCAGTCTTAAGCTTTTGTCTTTTCGAGATGAGACATGTGACAATAGGCTTTAAGAAAATTATTAGAAAATGAGGAAAACCCATTGTTTTTCTTATATTCTTCAGTTAATTCGACTATAACCCGAGCGTAACGGATCCTCTGGCTAAATTTCTCCATTTTTACATATCAACAAGCTCCTCTCTTAAAAGAAAAAAAAGATCCTCTTACTATTTTCTATAGTAATTAATATCATTTTGCAAAATAGCATAAGTGTTAAATTAAGTACAAATAGCGTACGTACGGTTTAAATTTCTGATTTAAAACGAAAAATATATATATGTGGCAATGAGCAGTAAAGTGCCTTAATTAAGAAATACAATAATCAAGGACCCAAATTTTGATACTGCCCAGTGCCCACCAATTCGATTAATGCTTCCTTCCATGGCTAGTAGCTTGCCTGAGAGCATTTAGACTATGGAGTTCTCCAGATACGAAATGGATTATGAGCTAAGAATGTGTACTGTTTTATTCTAGATATTTGTCTCTTTTTTCGTAATAAACTCGTGTTTTGGATTTTCACACATATTAAAAACAATTATTTTAATATTACTTTTATATTAAATATTTTTTGATAACTATGAACCAATAGTAATCTAAGAAATTTAATCATTTTATTTTAAATGTTACTATTTGTAATATTAATCAATAAAAATAAAGATTTTTTGTAAAAAATTAATCTTTGTAGAACACAACAAAAACAACAAAAATGCTAGAACATGACATGGAGTATATATCAACAAATTATAATTGTTATTCCGCATCACTGTTTTATCGTTTTGGGCAACATCTTTTTTTTTCTGGTGTTATTTTATTTCTTCTTTTGGCCGAATTGCATTATAGAGAAGAAGAAAAACAGTTTTAGCAAACCTAGCGAAGATAAAAGAAATTTGGTTAACATATTTTTGGCTTTCTACTCAGTTAGTAGTATTTGTGTATGTAGTAGTTTTCACGTTCTGATGGTCAGCTTCTATCAGATTTCATCTATGGCTTTGAGTCTAGAACAACTATACACAAATTACAAGCTTTCCCTAGAAGAATCCTCTCACCGGATTTCGTTGACGGCAGGAGTTATCCCTGGACCGTTGCTTGCGTCTTGTCCGGTGAAATTGTCGAGGACGCACGACAATTCTTTAGTTTGGGTGAAAATTGTTTCTGACCTTAAGGGTCTTTGGCGTAAAAGCTTCTCATTCATGGAGGTAATCTCGGATCCTCCCTCCTCCCTTGTGGAGAGAACCTATCTATGTCTTTTAGCTATCTCAATTTGGTTCGCGCCGGCAACCAATATTGCTAAAGACTCTTTTCAAACGTCACGAATTCTTTTGATAGTGACTATTGTTAATTTTCCCGAAGTATTCGCGGAAGTGTCTTTGACACACCTTGAGCTCGTTTGTGGCATGTTGCGATGCAGCCTCTGTCTCCGAGTTTCTATGGATCTATCACCGAAGTCTAATGGTTTCTCATTTTATCTATCTACTTATGTTGTAACTTTGTGTTGGTTTATCCCTTTGTACCCAACCATTAGGTTGATGACTCTGTACTCTTTATCTCCCTTTGGGATTGATTAAATGGATAACAAGTATGCTTTTGTTCAAAAAAAAAAAAAAAAATGTTTAGCTTAGAAGAACCTACTAGAGCTTCCAAAACTGTTTGAAAATACAATAAAAATAGTACGGTTCGCAATTATTTGTAACGAATTTCCTTACTGGATAAAGCATCTATATTTTTTAACAAAAAAAATCAAAAAAAGCACATATATTAAAAATAATAGTTGTGAACTTGTGATATATTATTTAGTAGTTTGGTGTAAAACGTATAATTCTAAAGTATTGCTACTTTCTTTCTGATTAGTTTTGAGTCTTTTGACAATAATCATATTACTTCATATATTAATTTCTTCTATCAAATAATTATTCTTATAGTTGTTAGAAATTAAATTATTAGACAGATAGATTTTAAGACTAAAAAGTGAAAACTGATAAGTATTGACCAAAACAATGGGTAACTTTCATTGTTAAAATGTAGATTAATTGAGTGGAACAAAAGAACTAAATAGTTTTTTACAATGATGAGCACTATAATAAGGATTAAGGAGGGCTTGCTTAAGTTAATCACATCAAGAAGAAAAGGCATTTTAGTAAATACAACTTCCGTATACTACGTTTGGTCAAGCTCTGTTTAATCATTTTTTCTTCACTCTATCTATATATAACCTCGTCTTCCCCACAAAAACAACACACAACAATAACAAAGAACATAATAATTTTTTCTATAAATTCTCTTTCTTTTGTTAAAGCAAAACTTAGAAATCTGTTAGCAAAAGAAGAAGATATGGGAAACAGTTTACGGTGTTGTTTGGCTTGTGTACTTCCATGTGGAGCGTTAGATTTGATCCGTATCGTACATCTCAACGGCCACGTCGACGAGATCACTCGTCCAATGACCGCCGGTGAGATCCTTCAGGCGAATCCTAACCATGTTTTAAGCAAACCTTGTTCTCAAGGAGTTGTTCGTAAGATCTTGATCTTGTCCCCTGAATCTGAGCTTAAACGTGGAAGCATCTATTTTCTTATACCGGATACTTCTTTGCCGGAGAAGAAGAAGACAAAGAAGAGAAAAGAGCTCCGTTGCCGGAAAAAGCCTCTTGAAAGCGGCAGTGACATTAATAGTGATCATATGAGTACTAATAAGGATCTTGATGGTCATTGTTTGACATTTTGTGAGAAATATTTGGAAGATGTTATGTTGTCGGAGAAGATGAGTTCGGCCGGTAAAGAGAATCGTCACCGTCGGAAACATAGCCGGTCAGCATCAGTGTCCACGTGGCGGCCTCACCTTGATAGCATCACTGAGGATCTTAATTAATTAGTAGTTTTTTTTTTTTCACTCTTCGTTTAATTGTCTCTATTTTCTTAAATTCTTTTTTTTTTTTGGATCCGGAAATCGGATTTTTATTTAACATTCCCGGGGAGAAAAATTTCAAATATTTTATTTATTATGAAGTTAAAAACAAAACTATGTTATGTACTCAGTACTCATGTGGATAAGATCTATGGTACATTGATATATGTTCTACTTTCAGAATGTGGCAATGAGGACAAGATTCTAAGTTAAGATCATATGACCATTATCTAAAATTAAAACTTTGTAAGCATATGTAAACTGGATCTTATATGACAGGAATCGAATTGTATAGTACAATTAGGATCAAATTTCGAAAATGCAAAGAAAAATTCATGTAACTGAACCAAATAGTATATGAAAATGGTAAAATCGTATTTTGGTAACAAATTACTAATTCAATATTTGTTGAGATCAAGTGAATAATGAATATGTTGTTAGATGTCAAGTAATAATGGAAGAGGTTGGAATTTAAGGAGAATTAAATTGAAAATTTTCAATTATTAATGGGTTGGGGTTGATGACTTTCATTAAACTGTGGTCATTATAAAATCAAAAGAATTAAAATCATACTTTATATAAGAAGAACTGCATGTTCAACTGTAATGCAACGTATTTAGACCAGATAAATATTTTAAGTTTCGGTGGTTAATTATTTATTGGTAATAATGCGAACTCGAGACGGCTGATTAATTAAGGGTCCAAAGAAAGAGTGTAGAGACGTCAGGCAATCATGTAAGGTCATCACATGCAGATGTAGCCATGTAGGTGGACCAATCGATAAGTCTGTGGAACTGAAAAACAAACCATATGTTTTCAAATAATATTAAAAGTTTCAATCATATAAAGTGCAAAGCAAGTTAATGCTAGTATTCACTATATGTGGACAAATAATATAAAAGGTCTCAATGATTATACACGAAGAAACCAAGACAATGATTAAAAAAAATCCGTAAAATTTAGTAACAGTATATACTGGTTTTGATTGGTAATCCATTATCAAAATGGTAGATGCTATACAGTTTTAACAGTTACCTATCACAAAATATTTATTAAAAACGTTACTAATAGTTTTATTTTCAATATTTTTGTATAGTTTTTTCTTACAGTTTTACTCTATTTCGATAAAACTTACAGCTCCAGCTAAAAAAATTGTACAGCTTTTGATTACCACTCATACCCATTACAAATCTATTTCAAAGTAGTAGAGACTCTTCAGAAATATATATATATATATATATATATTTATATAAACAAACACATACATTTAAATACTATTGTCAAAAAAATGTACAATATAATTGCAATATATATATTTACAAAATTAATCAATAAGTTTTTTGGTTATATAGTAACTTTATTCCCGTTCTTTAATTATTATGAGCACTTAAGGTTAGTTAGGTTCCTAATAAAGTTATTTTGGTTCAATTTTTTTTTCTATCATATAACTAGTTAATACAATATTAAATAAAAAATTAAAACATTATCGCGGCCAGCATGATTTTCAATCTAATTTATTATAGTTGACATTTAAAAAAAAATTGATTTAAATATCATCATATAAAGTCATATAACATATATATGATAAATAGTAAATCATCTGTGAATAAAAATGTTGGCCAAGATCCCAACAAACACTAATGAGTAATCAACGTAGAGAATAATCTCATCATTTATTCAATAATCAAATATTGTTAGTTGTTCAATAACTTCAAGAACCACTAGGTGGATACACGCCTTTACAAAGGCCACGGGTGCACGCACACATCTTTGTTGGGCCAATTCCGAAACATTGTCCGTAAATATAAGTTTCACTTTGGCAAACTTTTTGGCATAATAAGTCGCCATTTTGTGCACTACATGTCTTAGAGGTTTGCGTCTTGCTTCGTATTAGTTCACAGCGTATGGCTGAAATAGGTGGTTTATATGATTCTGGATTTACTGATATACTAGTTGAAATCAACATGGTGATCATCACAAAAGTGATGAAACTAACAAATCTTTTACTTTTACTCATTTTCTTATTTTTCCGTTTTTTTTCTCTCTAGTTTTATGGAATATTTTATGTATACAATCAATCAATTTTTATTTATAAAGAGTTTTCATTTCTATTTTAAGATATAAACAAGACAGTCGTCCCGTAATAAAATGTTCAAAGAGAGGAAGAATACCACACATACCATAACCACATATTTCTCTCATTCCTTTGCTATTTTTAGTATATAAGAAAAAAAAAAATAGATTTCTTCCAAAATACAACATCTTATACTCCCTCTGTCCCAAATTATAAGAGGTTTAAGGGTTTTTTCTTTGTTCCATTTTAATAGATTTTTTCAAGTTTCAATGCACTATTTATACTTATTTAATAGTTTTTGACTGTTTAAATTTTGCAGTCTTTTTTTTAATTGGTTGAATTTTTATAAATAAGAAAACATTTATTGTTTCTTAATCCTTGTGCTTTTAGCCAAAACCTCTTATAATTTGGGACAGAGGGAGTATATTACTTGAAAAACATTTTTAATATAAAACATAACTCTCCCATGTGATTTACAAGATTGCCATGTTGACTTTTCAGAAATATATAGTTTAAATAACTAATTACCCAGTTATTACTAAATTAATTACCAATGTACATATTCTAATTAATTCGTTATATGGGACGCGATATTTTTAAATATTCTAATTAATTCATTATATGTAAAGGATCAATTTTGATTGGCCAGCTTATATGGGAATACTCGACATTACACCAGATTCCAAAATAATATTCTTCACTTATGAAATTCCATATTAATCGTGATTGTATACTTTCGAATCTGTTACCCAAATATAAAATATGCTTAATGGATCACTAATTCACTATATGTCAGATATAGAATTATGTTTTTTTTAAATTATTCAAATTCATTATCACTGATTACAAATTTACAACCATATATTTAAACTTTAACAACAACGTGAAGTGATATGTTAATGCCAACCATCGATTTTACTTCATCTTTTTTTGGTCAAAGTTTAGAGTTTTTACGTTCCTAAATCAGATAATTCATAAGGTTAAAAAGAATGCTTCTTGTTTCTCTGTTCAATAATTTTGGATTCAGTTTCTCTCTTTGATACCCAAATCTTATTGTAATTTTTTTGTAATGCCTCTACCTTTCATTTTCAATGATATTAACATTCATAACAAAAAAAAGAGGGTTAAAAAAAATGCGAATTAGTTATGAAGAAATTTGTTTTTCTTGCTAAGGTTATTGGATGACCTAAAAGCTAGGTGATGGAGACATCTACAAGTTAAGAAATGGAAAACAAAATTATAAATCTCTTAAAATATAATAGAAAAATAAAGAAAATGAAAGCTGGCATATGATTCGGCTGCCTTCACATGGTTTCCCATCCTTTATGTCCCATCTCTTCTAAACACCCATCTTTTCGTTCACCACATCTTTTTTTATTGTACCGGAAATAAATGATAACTTTTAAGAAAGGAAGAAAATAAAAACTGAAAATTTGGATGGGGTTTTACGTTGTAAATCAGTGATTTCAAAAGGTTTCTTATAGCCAAAAGTTTACACAATTTTGATTAGTTTCTACATCTCTTTGATGTGTGTCAAAGTGCATCTTTCTATTTTTGGTCCTTGTGCTTTGTTTCTAGTTGTTATGTTTATTAAGCTGTTTTTTTTTCATTTGTCTTATATTGTCCTCAAACTGATGGTGGATGGTAAGCCAACACCAAATTTGTTGCCGAGAAAGAAAAACTTACCACAAAATTATCCACTAGATTTACATTTTCTCTGATATTGTGACATTGGATACGTATGTCCTAGTATTAGAGCATTCTTACCACAAAAGCACTTACTCATAGTAGCGCCAACAAGCCCAATATAATAGCCCAATATTATGAGATAAATAAGTCCATAGGTTATATATATATCAATCTAAATTCATTGTGTTTTTGGTGAATCTTAAGTTCATTTCTCTTACTTTTCCTTGCCCAAAATAAAGTTGTAGTAGTCTATTTCATTTTCTTATTTTCAATCTCATTTTTTCTATCTAATAAAGCTTTAAGAGCTTGAGACTACTAGCTTTGGATTCTCCTACACCTAGAAGTGATTATCAAGCATCTCATTTGTTGTTAGGACTAGAAAGATTGTCACAGTACGTAGAGGATACATAAAAAATAGCAGCCAAACTATGTACTATATATGCATGCTCTCTAATCTTAGTTATAGTTATAACCTTTAATTATTTTGTGTACCTGTTCAAAAATATATGAATTAACTACGATGACATAGTTCAATATGCAGCCTTTGATCTATATGAATATAGTATGTCACATATATAGTTCTAGTTTTCCAACACATAAAACCCTTCACGCATGAGTTTAACCAAAATATGTTTTATTTGATACATTGATCTCTTATTGAAATATATCAATAAAACAGAAAAAGAACTACACTATAACATAATGATCATCCTGAGACTCAACTCAAGATCCTAAATGCTTATAGCTCTTAGATACTACATCTATGTATAAATATTTCTAGTTATGAACTTAAGATAAAAAAAAATGTCACTAAATCCATGTGATTCCAACAGCCGTAGAAGCTGAAACTATATATGCATCACAATAAATCCATGTATACTAAACACACTTACGACTACAAGAATCATTTGAACATAAGGAGTGGATGGCGGATGTATGAATGTGAAAGGCATGGGAATGGGTTTAAGAGGCTTGTTGTAGTACATCTGTTTTACAAAGCTTCGATGGACCAAACGCTCCAAAGTCAGGTAAACAATGCAACTGAGGGCAATGCTAACAACGCTGGAAACGTGGTTTGCTTGTATATTGCTAACAATCCTCGAAAAATGGTTCAAGACAATGATGACGTGTATGCAATATTCAATCATCTTGGGGTAATTCCAGCGGCTAGTAGAAGCTAAAACTATGTACTATATTTGCATGCTCTAATCTTATTTATAGTTATAGCCTTTTATTATTTTGGTGTA